CCCCAAAACCCCAAAACCCCAAAACCCCAAAACCCCAAAACCCCATTTTTATAGGTATATAAGCCTTAAAATCATGGTGTAAATTACAAGAAATCCTTGAGGTTCCGTCCCTCAGCTCTTAACTGGAAATTCTTGGACCTTCGGAACTTCTTGCTGACACCCTTTAAAGTTGGAGAATCTGTCAACAACTTCAAATAGGTCTTCTTCTTCGGACTCATAGAACAATTCATTGTGTTTATTAATTTAAAAGGATTTTCTAAACCATTTGACTTCATTTTATCTAGAAATTAGCAGGGTGATTACTTCTTTTAAGCAAGGAGCAAGATCTTCCTTGAACAGGACTCTTCGAATATAGACTAGAATTGGTAGCCTTCTTCGTTAGCCTAGTTTGATCCTGAGACATTCTCTTTGGTTCAAAATCAGTCGTTTCATGGCTAGCAGCCATATTTTTGAGTATCAAGAAAGAAGACGCTATGAGTTATAAAGTACTATTACTATCTTCTTTTTCATTGTTTCTGGCTTCATGGCCATTACTGTTAGACAGTTCTCATAGATATTCGCCCTTGGAAGAAATTCCAGTTGATCCTTTGTTGGTTCTTGAGACTCTTTTATAAGGAATCTCTTTTTCTCTCAATCTAGGATTTCCTATTGAGTAATTATGCCCAAGCTTCGAGTTCGAAGTTGTATGACAGAACACTTGTTGGGTTCCTATAGGTCATATAAGAATGTCTTTAGAGCCAACCCTTACTCCTAAACTTGGGCTCTTGCTCTGAATACCCTGTTTCATAGTTGATAAAAGGAAGCTGAGCCTGGCCAGCATTAGGATTTTCTAGTGTAGGGTTATAGAACTGGTTCCTAATACGAGCTGTTTCATTTTTAATCAGCTTCTCAACAGACTCAGATCTTGACTTCAAGTGTTTGGACTCTTTAGTAGAACTTAGAGTGATAATTTTATTTCTAAAATCTCTTGTTCTTTGTCTTTCTAGATCGCTATTAGTTATCATAGAAGTATTTAAAATTTATAACACAAATGGCAACGAAAAGCCAATAATACAGTTTGTGAGTAATACTCTTTTTATTGTATCTTAGGGATGCGCTTACTTCTATTAAGATTTCTCCCATTTCTCTTGAGCTTTTTCTGAAATTCCTTATTTTAACAAAGCATAGTATGATTTCTTATTAGAGCGTTTCAGACTTCTCAATGTTTCCTCTCTATTTAGCTCATTAAACTTTGTTGTATTTGTGCCTAAATCACCATTAAACACCTTTTACACACTTAGATTACATACCTGCTCAAATATTCTTAAAATTGGAAGGTTTAGGAGGATTAAAATTCCTTCGATGACGATTCCTAAAAAAACTAGTCAACTTCTCTTACATTAGCAAATTATAACAATCCTTCGTATCTTTCATAGCCTCTCCTCCCTCCCTATCAACTTTCATACCATCTGTCGAAGTACTAACTCCCTTCTCACCCATACTTCTTCTGTGCACAAGCAGGTCTCTTCCTTCCTGCTCAGTTGAATACTGACTGGTGAGCTCAGCCACTGGATTTTGAGCCCCTGAAGAAAATGTGTGAGTGGAGTGGAAATTTTGGGAAGGAGAAGGGGAAATTTTGGGTTAGAGGGGAATTTTACTGGTGGAGGAGTGGTTTAGGTGGGATTTTTGGGGGTTTTGGGGATTTTTGTGGATGTGTTCGATGGTGGTTGCTTTTGAGAACAGGGATGGGTTGATTTTAGTGCACATTTTATTTGAGGTTGTGGCATGGGTGGGCTAGAGAGGGAGTTTAGGTTGATTTTCATGGGGATTTGGAAGGTAGAAATGATAAACAGAATAGGGAAATTTTTAAGTGAAGTATGATTTCTTACTTGAAATATTCTTCTGTTTAGCAAATCATTGAGGGATGACAGCGAGTTTCTTATAGGCTTGTCTGAGCTCTCCAGCTTCTCTAAAATTTCCAAAAAGTTTGGAGACTTGATATATCTTCTCTTCTACAGGAACAGTCCTTGGTTGCTCTTGGTAGTACAGCTGGGATTTCATTATATTTTATTTCAATAATATATATCCAAGATGGGGTTTTGGGGTTTTGGGGTTTTGGGGTTTTGGGG